AGGCAGAGACAGGTGGATCTGCTAATTCAAAGCCAGCCTGGTCTACAGAGTGAGTTTCAGGGCAGCCAGAGCTACAGGGAGGAAAAAAAAAAAAAAAAAAAAAAAAGCCTAAAAATTCAAGTTAGCATCCAGAGATACACAGATGAGAGGACAACTTCAAAGGCTTGGTTCTCTCCTTCCATCATATGGTTTGCAATGGAACTCTGGAGGCAGGGCCTTGCACCCAGCCATCTCGCCCACTCTTGGGTGGCTAACTTCTAACTACAGCATGTGCCTGAGAGGCAGCAATGGAACAACACTGATATTAAAGGCACAGCCTTGGCACGTGGATCAAGTAACAACCAATAACAATAAAGGACTTCAGAACTGCATCTAGGATATCTGCCCTAGGAAAAGACATGGAAAAGGCATTCCCCAACAAGCAATGCCTAGGAAGAAACAGTTTGAGTCAGCTGTCCAGGCTAACAATGTCTCAAGACTAACAGTGGAGAAAGAAACAGAAGCTGGGCACAAACAAAGCACTCATGAGGCTGAGGCAGGAGGACCTCAAGGTCCAAGCTAGCCTGAGCTAACCCCTATACAGTTCAAAAATCTGACAAACATGTAATTAAAAAGTTAGGATGCTTAAAGAACAGCAATGGGATAATCTGTGTTTTTAGATCCATGAAAACATGTACAACCTCTTCTTAAGGTTGCCAAAGAAACCATTAGCCCCAAAACTTAATGTTTACACTTTTTTGGTTCATGTCTTTGTTATCTGTAACCGGGGACTGAACCCAGGGCCTAACAAATGCTAAACACATACTTTGTAACTATCCTGATAGGAGAGCAGAGAGAGCAACTTGTGCCATCCAACTTATTGAAACAATGGGCCACAAAATAATAAAAACTTCCTCTGAGAATCTCATGCTGGAGGAGGAGAAAGTCTGGAGTCCTGGTGTCAGCCAGAAGAGGAGTGTGTGTCCCAGGATGAGATTTGGCACAGTTCTGACAATTTGTTGGGCCTTTTTAAAGGACAGGTTATTATGAACAGGACCACATCTTGACCAGGCTGTCTTAGTTATGCTTGCTTCTTTCCGTCTATTTAAACCCAAGCCTCATGCGGTACCCCAAAGACGAACTTAGGGATCACTAGTCCTCTTTATTTGTTTTTCATCCCAACATCATATTCAATAAATTTGCTTCCTCTGCTTTTCACCATTGCTTGTCTCTTTAATTGGTATATTAGGGACAACTGGCAAAGCCTCGCTTGTTTGTGCTATCAAAGCCAGGCTTTGACCCTAAAAACTCCACTAGCAGTACTACCACTAAGCTATGCCTCAGCCCCATCGTTTCTTAAACTCAATTCCAAATTAATCAAGTTTTCCCAACTCTAATGAAATCAAGACTCTTCCTCTAAGTACCTCACTGTGAAGGGGGGAGGGGGAGTAGAGGTGGGAAGGGAGAAGACTGAAAATAATGGACTACATTATGGATTGAGGAAAAACTACAAATTTTGTTTTGGAAGAACATCAAGATACTGAACAGCCACAAATAAGGTGATCACTGACTTACTCAGTCACGGCTCTGCAGAGTGGTTTGATTTGTTGGCATTTTATTTACTCCAGAAACCCTAAGCACTCTGGTTTTTTTTTTTTTTTTTTTTTTTTTTTTTTCCTTTTCAAATGGGAAATTGAGACCTAGAAAACCTACAAAACTAGACCAACTAGACCAAAGACATCAGCCAGTCAGAACACAGAAGAACCGTAGAATTACCCAGAGGTGGAGATTTGTTCAACCAAACTCAGTGCTTCATAGAAATGGACTCAAAGACCTAAAGAAAAGATGGGAGTTGAAGAGACCCCACCTCACACCGCTACCAGTTACCTGGACTAGAAGAAGCTCAAACACCCACCCAGCTCTCTGCCTTCCACTCCATGTTAAAATTGTGTCCTAACCAGAGGTTATTCACCACTTCGGTGTTCTATTCACCAATGGATTACACAACACTTTCCAAAAAAGTGTGAGCTGCCATGCTGGGTGCAGACCTGTAATCTTAGTTACCTGAGATGTTGAAGCAGCAGCAGCAGCCTGAATTACAGAGCTCAAGACTATCCTACGAACCTTAGCAAGATTCAATCTTTAAAAAAATAATAATAAGTTTTAAAGGGATGGAACCAATGGTACAACACTGCCAAGATTCTGGGTTTGATCCCTAGCACCTGGTGTGGAGGTGGGGAACAGTTGGAGGTAGGAAGAGACCAGAACCAGAAGGTCATCTACATATGCATGCCCCTTTTTGGGGGGGGGGGAAATATGAGTGTGGTTTTTGTTTATGTGTCCATATGGTGTGTTTGTATGTGTGTGTAGATATAGATGATTAATCGTGACTTTAGTTCCATAATCTAAGGTTAACAGAGTAATGGATGTAGCCTTTCTATGAATTACACATTGTCCAAAGCCCTGGATATGTTAATTCAATTGACTTTCATGGCTGTATAACTTTATTACCCCAGCTTACAGATGACTGAAAACCAAAGGACAGACAGGTTAAGTAACTTACATCATGCTTGGAGGAGTGGCAGGGTCTCCTCCACACAGGTGCTATGTGTGCCTCCTTCCTCCTCACCAAGTCAACCCAGAGACCATGTTCCTGTTTCATGAGCACCAAAAGCCCCAAGTCACACATGCCTCTCCCACTCCCAACTCCCCACACATCTGCCTCCTCTTTCCATTCCGGCCTGTGACTCCCCACACTCATCACATTTCCACTCACACTTCAATAAGATGACATGGTGTTCTTTGTTTAGGTGCTAGGAATCAAACGAAGGACTTCCCACACGAGACAAACCGCCCTATATTGAGATACATAACCCACAGTGCATTATTTTCAGGATTTATTTACTTATTTAATGTACATTGGGGTTTTACCTGCATGTATGTGTCTGTGAGGATGTCAGATCACCTGGAACTGGAGTTACAGACAGTTGTAAACTGCCATGTGAGTGCTGGGAATTGAACCCCAGGGGGAAGAGCAGCAGCTCATAACCGCTGAGCCATCTCTCCAGCCCCCACAGGACATATTTTTAAAGTCTTCCCCACTGACTTTTTCAAACCTGATTTCCCTTTGCATTTAAACATTTCTAACACTTACAGAAACAGCTACTATCAACAGAGTATACACTGCATGCTCAACACAATGCTTAAGACCTTTCTTATAATGTTAAGTTATAAAGGATGTGTACTGAGACCTATTTGACTAACAAGAAAATTGAGACTCTGAAAGGCTAAATATTTTGGGTGTTGTTTTCATAACCAATAAAGAAAAGGCACACATTCAAGTCTGAAGGATTCAAAGCTCACCTATGGCCCTTGTCTGTACCATAGCTGTGCGTGGTCTCATTTCAGAGCCCCTAGGTATCAGACTACTCACAGAGTGTTCAGCAAATGGATTCTAGAAGGTCACAAGGAACATAGTAATTACCTGAAGTGTAAGAGTTTCTAATACTATTTCTCCAACACCTTAACTTATGGACGCAATCAAGTTCAGATAGTCCCTCCTTCAAAAACGTAAATTCTTCTGATATGTATCTTCTAAGAAATCCTATCCATCAGTTCTGGAACCCAGGATTGTCCTCTGACTTTTGGACCCTTCCAACACCAGTCAGAGACAGTTAGCTGTGTGATTTGTTTTGCTGTGTCAGTCACTTAGATGCCTCTCTTGACCCCAGGCAAATAACGACTTGCCAAGGACTGAAGTCGGGTTTTAAACTTAAACCAATCTCACTTCTCAAAGGCCTGACCACACCAACACCACGGAGCATACTGTCACCGTTCATGACATAAACACCCTCTCTGAATACAAAGGTTCGAGCAGCACTTTTTAATCCCCTGGAATATCAAGGGAGCAATTATTGTTCATTCACTCGATGTGAAAGCTGACAATCACACTTAGGTTATGTATGGAACTGCGCGTCTTAATTATACTATAAACATCACAGTTTATAATGTAACTAAATCAGCTATTCAACTCTACAAATTCAACAAATGGGTGAAACAGAAGAAAGAATGCCACCCGTACTCTTTGACACAGTAAAAATACCTTTGTTACTTAGCAAGGTACCTGTGCTCTCCCAACATATGCCACGCCTTTCAGTATGACAAAAGCAAAGAGATCTACGGTTGCTTTTTTAAAAAGAAAAAAAGAAAGCTCACTCGGCCCTCTTAACCAAAAATAAAGTCTAAGGATGAATTTCATCTCCCTTTTCTTTGACACAACCCGACTTTCTTCCTCCAGCAACCAGAAAAAGGGGGGAGGGGGAGCTGCAACACAGAACTCACACTCTCCTAGCTGGGCTCATCCCAAACTTCACCTAAGCGCGAACCAGGCAGGCACCGGGAATTCCGAGGAAATGGTCTCGCCCCAATCAAAGCACATTTTTAACTTCCTCGAAACCATTATTTCCCTAGGGCACGATCAAACACTCCCACCCGAACGTACCACCAAAGAGACTACTTGTAAGGGAAGCTCAAACACACACAAAGAGAAAACACTGTTGGGAGTCGGCGGCGCGGGTAACCCTGGCCACCGGGGCCACCGGGGCCACCGAGGCATGCTCTGGGTCCCCGCTCCGGCCCTCGGGGCAGGAAGCCTGGCTCTGCCAGGCGGCTGCTCCCCGAGGGCTCCCGCCCCGACCGCAGCGATAAGGTGGAACTGCGCTTCCCACCCGGGCAGCTCCGCCCTCCGGGCCACATTCCTGAGAAGCCCGAGTCCCCGGACGCCGCGCCGGGCGCCTGGCGGGCAGCAGCGCGGCGCCGTGGCCGCAGGGCAGGAGAGCAGCGCCGACTCCTCACTCACTGTTCCAGCCTACCCTCGTAGCCGCGCGCCCTGGCCCCACGCAAACCGCACCCGCGCGCACCGCACGCGCCGGAGCCCCGCACCCGCGCGCCCCGGGCGGGGTCGCCACGGCCACAGGTAGCGCCACCCTGCCGCCACCACCCCTCAGGCCCGCTCCAGACACCTGGATGAACTGGATGGTGAGCGCCGACTTGCCCACGCCGCCACCGCCGACCACCACGAGCCGGTACTTCTCCTGACCGGAGCCGTCGCGCCAGCCGGCCGCGGCCATCGGGACGCCCCGAGCCCAGCCCGGCCGCCGCGCGCCCTAGGCCCGGCTCCGGGGACGAGTGCGGCCGGCTGGGCGACAGGCAGTAGGGCGCGCGGGGCCCGTGAGTGGCCTGGAAGGCCGCGGAGAGCTATTCCCCGGAACGGCTGGGAGTTGCCCGAGACGCCGGGGAGCCGGGAAGGCGCCGGGGCAGAGGACGCAGTGACCAGGGAGCGCGCTCCTCTCTGCCTCTCTGCAGCACAGCCGAACGCAGCCTCAAGCACCGCTACAAATGGCCGTCTGGGGGCCGGGCCGCCAGAATGGGGTGCTACATATGCATGAGGAGGCGGGGCCAGGCCGCGCCCGCCCTGGCTGAAGCTCTGGAGCGCCCTAGGCTGCAGACCCGGTGGACCTGCCCCCTAGAGCGCCCTAAGGCGGAGAGGGAAGAAACCGGGAAGACTGACGGAGGTAACAGTAATTGCAGAAGTCAGGGATAGTGCTCATGAAAGAAACAGCCTGTGACGATGTGGATGAGAAATAGAACTGTGGTCATATTCACTCAACTCTGTACCCTGTTTTCGGAATGCAGATGGTCTGTATTTGTTTAAAAACAAAAAGTATAAGGCAGTGATTGAGAAAGATGAGAGCTGTTGAGATAACTAAACATGTGGTGGATGGACTGATAGCAGTGAGAGTGGATGGGTAGAGATTGAGCTTGTATGGGGCCACAGTACATGTCGACAGATGTGGGGTGCAGATCTCCATTCCTGTTTATGTGTGAGAAATATGTGGTAACTGCATATGAGGGTCGTGAGAAATTTGCAGGCAGTGACATGCCAGGACAATGTTCTCTTCGAATACAGCTTCTAGGCACATGATCACGTCCTTGCTCTCAGAGTCCAATGGGGGAGGCAGCCAGGACAATAGGCACCTTGTGAGACATGATGATAAGGACAACTGCATAGCACTGAGGTCCAAGGTGCACTTACCCCAGAGCTGTCCAGTCAGAGGTTTTCCGAAAGACTTGATGAATAAGCTTGTAAACAGATGTGTGATTGGAAGAAAGCATTCCAGGGAAAGAAAATCATTCTGGGCTGCACTTGGTGGCCCTTGCCTTTAGTCCCAGTATTCTGGAAGCAGGAGCAGGCAGATATCCCTGTAAGCCCAAAGAATTCCAGGCCAGCCTGATCTATGTAATGAGTTCCAGGCTAGAGCTACACAATGAAACCTGGTCTGAAAAGAAATGAAGAATGAGAGAAAGAAAAGAAAACCAGATGTGCAGGCATGCAGAAGTCAGGGTTGACAAGGAACACTTCTGTTGTGTGGTTTGAATGTGCTGAGGAGGGTTTACAGGCTAGCAATTATAAATAGAAACTCACTGTATGTGTGTCAGCTTAGTTAATACCATAGGGATGTATCTCCCTGTAGAGGCAGTGTAAGGTTAAGACTGTGATTCTCAGCCTGTGGGTCACAATCCATTCATAAGGGTTACCTAAGACTCAGATACTTACAGTGTGATTTATAACAGTAGCAAAATCATAGTTACAATGTAGCAATGAAAATAATTTTATGCCTGGGGGTCACCACAGCATGAAGAATTGTAATAAATGGTCACAACACTAGGAAGGAACCACCAGGTCATAGTCTCAGAGGGTAGACTGGATCAAATCCCTCCTCTTCTAATGGCATGGTGATGGGAACTTAACCTCTGTGCCTCACCTTCCTCTTCTCTCAATTAAGAGCACTGAGTCTGTGGAAGGCTCAGAGAAGGACAGCACAAGCCTGGCCACCCCGTCTCTGCAATCCACAATGGAAGGAGAGAACTGATTCCCAAAAGTTGTTCTCATGTGTGCAGGACATAAAACATTACTGGAATGGGGTAAGCATGGTGGTTTTTACAATATGATTTCAAGTTCTCAAACACACTAGTGTATACATGAGTTCTAATAGGTCTTAATAACAAAAACACAAAGTCAGCTATCAGGGGGTAAAAGCTAAAGGATCAGAGAAGCAGAGCAACCAGTCACTAGAGTTCTTGCCTCTTCCGATGCTCAGACCAAAGGGACGATCCTGTCCTCAGACTGTCTTCTCAGACTTCATCCTTAGACTGATTGCTGTTCAGACTGCCCTGAGCTCCTCTCTCCTCCTGCTTTAATACCTCTCTCCTCCCAGGCATATCACTCCTGTCTTCCTAGTGCTGAGATTAAAAGCAAAGGCTGGGATCACCTTTGTGTGAGCTCTGTTCTCTTTTACACAGATTTAATCTCATGTAGCCCTGGGTGGTCTTGAACTCAGAAATCCATCTGCCTCTGTCTTCCAAGTGCTGGAATTAAGGATGTGTGTCACCACTGCCTGGCCTCTATGGCTAAGTAGTGGCTTAGCTCTGCACTCTGATCTTCATGCAAACTTTGTTACAACATAAACAAAATATTACCACACTAGTGTCTTGCATGAAACCAGTAAAATGCAGCGAAGAAGATATAGATGGCTTCCAAGGTCTCTTCAGGAAAGGCCACAGAGTTTTTACCTCTCTTGGGATTCTTACTTTGAGGAAAACCAAGTGAAAAATGACTCCCTTAAGATGGCCATGTATACATACCAACCAAAAGTGCTCATAAATCCAGAAGAAGGGAACTAGCGCAAGGGAAGGAGAAAAGGATGGAGAGGGCAATGTAGAAGAGGGGTGAATTTGAAAGAAGTGGCACAGCACACATATATATATATATATATATATATATATATATATATATATGGAAATGTCATGGTAAACCCTACCTATTACTTTGTAGCCATCTTGTAAATTTAATTTAAAAACACAGAAAAAAAATGTAGAGCATGGTGACACATGACTTTAGGAGACAGAGGTGGGTGAGTATCTGTGAATTTAAGGCCAACCTGTGCTACATATTGAGATCCAGGCCAGCCAAGGCTACATCATGGACCCCTGTCTCAAAAAAAAAAAAAAAAAAAGATTGGGGAGGAACTCCAGGGGTGAAGAGCACTTGCTGCTCTTGCAGAGGACCCAGGTTTGATTCCCAGTACCTACAGCAAGCAGCTCACAAACAGCCTATAACTCCAGCTCCAAGGGATCCTATGTCCCATGCCCTCTTCCAACCTCCACAGGCACATGCACACATATGGCACACACAGAGATAAAAAATATTTTTAAAACACAAGAAATGAAATGAAGCATACAGGCGTCACCCCCACCCCTGAGCTCTCACTAAACCACCAACACCATCTACAGCCAGGTAAGTGAGACACACAGGACAGCTATCCTGGGGCAAGCTTCAGAAGAATGCAGCGCCTGCTGGCCTCCAGCTGTTAACTCCAGGAGAGGACTGTCCAGCCCGGACCTACCTTAACTCCTGACCCGTAAAGTCACACGAAAAACAAAATTATGACCTGTGTACTGTGGGGGGGGGGGGAGGGAATAGACTTCAGGGCATCTTGCATACAGTGTATTTTGACACTGACACACATCCCCAGCCCACACAGTTTTTATATTTAAATTTTAAGATTATTTTATTTTTGTGTATGAACATTTTGCTTGCATGTATTTCTGGGCACCACATGTATGCCTGGTGCCCACAGAAGCCAGGTGTTGAATCCCCTACAACTGGATCTATGAACAATTATGAGCTTCCATGCATGTGGGTGCTGGCAATCAAACCTGGAAACCTGGGTCCTCCATAAGAACAAGAACTCTCCTATAACTTCTAGCCACTTCTTTAGACACAGTTTTGTTGTTGCTGTTGTTGTTGTTGTTTTGTTTTGTTTTTGTTTTGTTTTGGTATTTTGGTCTCTTGGGTTTAAGGGGTTTTTTTTTTTTTTCACCTTTTTTCCTTATTATGTAGCCCAAGCTGGGATCATAGGGGCAGAGCATCATGCAAGAGTCGCACAGAATTTTCTAAAGATTTGTTTCATGCAGGCACATGCCTTTAGTCCCAGCACTCAGAAGGCAAAGGTAATTGGATCTCTGAGTTTGAGGCCAGCCTGGTCTAAAGAGAGTTCCTTGACAGCCAGGACTACACAGAGAAACCTTGTGTAGTTTCAACTACAGCAAAAAGATTTGTTTCACAGAGCTAATGGCTAGAAATGTCTCCACAGAAGATATTACTACCTATATGAAAAGAGGAAGCCAAGAGAGAGCGAAGGAGGGAGCAGCAGAAAGAAAGAGGAACCTGGGTCAAAGGAATACTGAGAAGGAGTCTGCTATGATTGCCATGGATGCCTCTCATGTGTGCGTGGCCCTGCATCTTCCCATGTTCGTCATGATGATCCCTGTATGTGCCTAAAATGCAACATGAAAGCCATGCCAGCAAACACATCCTACAGATTGCTTCCCGGGTTTCCAATTTTTCTTCCCCTTTCAAATAGTACAGTGCTCTGTTATTCTAGTGGATAGGATCTAAGCCCTCCTCTGCATGTTGGACACTCAGCCAGAACCTGATCCTATACACACATACTATGTCTAAGTTTAATGTATTAGTTAGGTATTAGTAAGAGCTCCATAATATGCAATGACCAAACACTATAGTGTGGTAAAAATTAGTAAAATCACTAATATAATGTTTGGGGCTGTTAAATAAAATAAAAGTTTCTTGAACACAAGCAGTTCAATCCCAAGACAGTTGATCTTATAGCTAAAATTGATATTGCATAATAGAATAAGTATTGGGTAGCATACTTATTACAGATACAATGGACAAAGTGATCCACTTCTAGGACAGGGCAGAATAGGGCAATAGGAGATGTCATCACATCGCTCACAGCAGCATTTAATTAAAAACCTACAAAGGTTTGAACCCTGCCAGTGAGATGGCTCAGTGGGGAAAAAACACTTGCCACAAAATCCTGGACACCTGAATTCAATCCCCAGAAACCACTGTGAAAAAAGAGAACCAACTCCCTAAGTCAGGGTACACATTTATCTGCACTCACACATATCACATATGTTCAATTAAATTAAAGATTTCAAAAACTTATAAACTGTTTCTTCTGGAATTTTCTATTCATTATTTTTCCACTGTGAAGATAAGAAACAAATGAAACCATGGAAAGCACACTATCTCCAAGTTTCACCTCTAGAGTCTGAGAACAGCCTAGCCCTACTTACAACTTCATGAGTTAAAACAAATTCACTTAAATTTGCCAACCTCCATTGGATGTGGTAATTTTTGTGTTGCTGCTTTGTTTTTGTTTTTGAGACACAGTCCTACTCTATAGCCCAAGCTACCCTCAAACTCTCAGCAAGCTTTCTGTCTCAGTTTCTTAAATGTGGA